CTTAACCTTAAAAGAAAAAAAAAAACTTCCATGATATCTGCATGTAACTGTAAAATTGCAAAAAATAAAAAAAATGTGAGAAACTCTTCCACAATACAGAGGAAAAGGAAACATAAATTATACCAGCAAGAGCTATTACAGACGGTGAGAAGAGAGAATGGACCTGAACAAATTGACAATTATGCTCCTAAATAAAAGATGACAGTACCCTACAGAAACAATGGTGAAATGTTCAGTAGAGCGGTTCATGATCTCAAAAGCGAAACAAAGCAAACCAGGGGCAAAAACAAAAACAATGAAAACAGTCTACAAAAGGCACCCAAATTATATCTGGAAAAATTATGAAAAAAAATGGACAAAAACCAATATGTAGTTTTATTATTTATTAATTTTAAGGATGAAAAAAGATCATACAAGCATTCAGCCAAAATAGCAAATAACATAAAAAGGCAAAGCAATCTGCGTCATTTCAATATTCTTTTCCATGATGCGAAATACTAGAAGCATTACATTTTGAGAGAAAAATAATTGCAATTCTATCTTTCTTATAAAGAGATAAGAATTCATCATATATTAACCTGGTAGCACACACACACAAATTCTCTTTGGGCATATATGGGTTCAATCTTCTATTACCAGAACATTCTTCCTGACATATCTCCCCTAACATTGAGACTCAGGAATAAAATGTTGGTTTTCGAAGACAGTCTGTTTGGGCTGTGTAACAAAATATCATAGACCGGGTGGCTTAAACAGCAGACATTTACTCCCTCATAGTTCTGGCCGCTGGGGTCCACAATCAAGGGTCCTGGTGAGAGCCCTTTCCCTGGCTTTTCTCACTTGATAGTATAATGTTTAATACTTTTTCTTAGAATCTGTTTTATGCTTTCTGTAATCTTCTTAATTCTTATTAATATTTTTCTTATGCTAAAAGGTGATGATTTACTGTTTAAAAGGTGCAGGTGCATTGTCATATACTGTAAGTACAAGCAAGGGTGCTAAAATAAAATCTTGGAATATTTTTTTCTGAATTTTCAATGTAATTTGTCACTTTTATTGAAATATAATTTTGATGTTAGTAATTAAGAATAATATATGTTCAATACCAAATGATTTTTAAAGCATGCTAGGTTGTAAAATAAAGCATGTTTTTAGTTTTTTACTTTCTGTTTAATTTTATTTATTATTTTTTAATTTAATCTTTGTTGTATTTTTTCTATTACCATTTAGTCACCTTATACTCCCTTCCCCCCAGCTGGGGGGAAAAAGCATGTTTTTATTAGAGTCTAAAAATATAAAATTGGAATCTGCCATAAAGATAATCTATAACTTGTTACTAAATTCTTTCTCTCCTCATTTTGTTCTTTAGAGTGTAGCAAGATATTCAAAAGTGATACAATTGATTACCATAAATTTTAGATTTAAAACTTAACTGCTATATTTGCTTTTTAAATTTAAGATTAATCTATGAATCTATTTTATTGAGATTTTTTTTCAAAATTGCTGCAGAGTGCAAAGGATAAACACTATTCTATAATATGCAATTTAAGGCAAATTACTTGTGTCTGCATTTCTCATATCAACTATTAAAAGGCAAAAAAATTTCTCACAATGGCATACACACTGGCATTTAGGAAAAAGAAAGATTAACAAAAGACTAAATATACTGAAAAAAAGATTGTGTGAGTAGGATTGGAAAGTTTAGATATAAACATTCTATGTGACAGGATAATTAATGGAAGTTGGTATCTATTTTCTAACCCTCAACTTGAAATTTGTTTTAAACAGAACTTTGAGAGATTAAAGATGTATTGTATCTCATACTAAATTAGAACTAGAAATGTCATATGCTTGAAATCTTTTTTATTTTTCATTCATGATTTCCCTTAAGATATTACAATCTTGACTCTTAAATGCAATTCCAACTAGAACTCTAATCCCAAGACTGCATGTCCCAATCACTCTCATGCCTTGGAGATCTCTACTATATTCTGTGTACGTGGCCAGTAAATAAACTAATGGAGAATAGAAGTTTCTGAAGTTTCACGAGCCACGTTTAGAAGTAATATATATCACTTCTGTTCATATTTCATTGGATATAACACAACCAAAGGTCTCTGCATAACTGACAAGGGGTTTAAAAAAAAGTGTTTGTGTCAAAAGAAGAGACGAATCACAGATATTGGTGTGAAACAATATTCTCTGCCACAACATTTTAAAAAATGCTTTCTACCACAAGGATGTATACATTATACTTAAGCGAAAAACCAAATCAGAAAACTGGATTTTGTCATATTACTCAGGAACACTGTAACTTGAATTATCAAACATATGGCTAGATGTCATGTCAAAGCTTTCATAAATTTAACCCTGAGTAAATATTTCTTAAGTCTCTCCCCCTGAAAACAGTGGAAAATCCTGTACCACTCACTGTCAATCCATTGGACTTCTTTACAATAATAATGCGAGTTTTTCTACGATAAACTTTCTACCATGCATTTATAGGGCTTTTGGGGGGTTATTTTGGACTAACAATTATTCTTTGTGAAAATGATGAATGTTTCTATGGTTTGTTATTTTCAATTTTATCTAAAGGCAAACATATAACTATTTTTCTTATACACAGGTCCTCTGCTCAAAGGATGTTGAAGTAACAAAGTTAAAGGATAAGTGGTATATATTCTTTAGCTTAACAGAATTTGTGTGAAGTAAAAGTACGGAAATGGTCAGTGACAATGTAGCAATGAATGGCCCTCAGATGTAGAATTCACTGTTTTGGTTCAGGCCCTCACATCTATATGAAAAATATAATCATTTACTCTGGTGGGCTTGCATTCTATGTTGTAAGTCAGGAGTCAGCACTCTGCCTGGTTTTGTAAATAGAACGTTAGTGGAACACAGCCATGCCCCTTCATTTATGCACTGTCTGGCTGATTTCAAACTACCACAGCAGAGTTGAATAGTTGCGACAAGGACTGTATGTGGTCTGCAAAGCTGAAAGCACTTACTCTCTGGCCTTCTACAGAAAACGTTTGTCCACCCCTGCTTTAAACCCATGAGGTGTGAACACCAAGTATCCTTTTACCATTACAAGGCTTCCAGTTTTATGCCACCTATTAAAATTCTATTGTAACACCTGGTTAACAATGTCAGTTGTTTAGTTTCAAAAAGGTTCAAATTGAAATTGAATTAAAGAACACTAGGAAACCTTATTGAACAACATTTCTTTGTAATGATTTCCTGTCTGTAGAGGTCAGCTTTGAAGGTATTTTATAGTTGTCTTTCACTTATAAATATGTGAACACAAAGACAACTTGTTTATAAAATCAGTTTATAGTCTCGGATTTTGTTTTTTTAAGTCACAGTGATATAAGTTGTAGTATTTGTAAATGGTTTGAAAAATAGGTATAAAAAGGTATTAAAAAGTAGTGTAAATGTTACTGATGCCCAGAGCATGTTTTTAAATAGTTCTGTAAGGAGTTGCTAAAATGAGGCTTCATATCTTAAAATCTATTTGTGCATTGAATAATGCATCACACACTCTAATCTAAATGTAGCATAGTGAAGTGCCTAATTTCTATTTTAATTATAAGTACTAAAATTGCATATAAGGTTTTATTATTTAAAAATATCTAGGGCTAGGGGTGGAAGGATTGAACAAAAAGGATTCATGGACATGGATAACAGCGTGGTGATTGCTGGGGGGAGGAGGGGATAAGGGAACTAAAAGATAATGGAAAAAAACACATAAAGATTAAATGAAAAAATATCTACAACACACTGTGATGGTATAAACCATTCTTATCAAATGACTAATCTACACTAAAGTGTAGTTTTCTTTCCATTATGGTTGGGGCTCTTCCATAGTATGTTTCTTTAAGAGAAAACTACTTAAACTGGAGGAGAGTGTTCAGTTGGAAAGATTTCAGGTGAATTGGGAAGATTATATAGATATGTGAGAGCACATTTAAAAAAAGTACTTCTCTACTTACAGTGCAATGTGAGTTTCTAGAGACTCCTCTATACATGTGATTTTGACTTATTTAGCTTAGAGTCTACTATTCAAGGTTGCATGTTAGAAATTACTCCCAAGAAATTTCCTAACATGGTAGGCAATGACATATCTGCCTATAAATTGATGCAATAATTTGAAGATTCTTCCACTTTTAGAAAAAACATGAATGTTATGTGAGTAACATTTCTCATCATGTCAGAGTGGATACCTGTATTTTATGTATTTAGAAACATGGGTCCTGTGATTTTGGATATGGTCATTTCCTTACACAATTCTTATCAACAAATACATTCTCTTAAAGTAAAATCTTCAAACTTTTTTTAGTATTAAACTATCTAGAAATATAAGAAGTCAGTTATCTATTGTTGTTAAGAGTAAAGTCATTTTTGTTTAAAATCACTTTTTAAGACAAACTGGTGAGTACCTACTACATCTGAAACCTAGACCAATATATTTTATGAAGATTCAGAAACTAAACAAAAAGGAAACTTTATCATTTTGTTTATAAGAATAATAAGAGATAAAACCTACAGTAAATGAGAGAAAAGGAAATTAGAATTTAAATTTTCCTTAGGCAAACTAGGAAAAAAAATGAATGGAGCTACTATATGCTAACAAACTGGACAACTTACAAGAAACAGAAAAAATCCTTATAAACATAAAATCTACCAAGACTAAATAATGAAGAAATAGATAATATGAACAGATGAATTACTACTAAGGAGATTGAATCAGTAATAAAAATCTCCCAATGAAGAAAAGCCCAGGACCAGATGGTCTCACTAGTAAATTTTACGAAACTGTTTTTGGTTTTGGTTTTATTTTGGGACCACGGGCTCTTAATGGAAGCATGATCTTTCTGAAGGAATAGGTTAGTAAACAAAAGCATTGTCATAGACTGCTGCTCACAGGTACAAATGTAAAAATTCAATTAGTAAAGAATTAATAACAAAACAAAACTGCTTTGCAACCACAGCTGCTCTTCTCAGAATAGTCCCTTTGCTTTCTTGAGGTCTTGTTGTTTCCACAGAGGCAAGGCAGTGAAGACTGCTGGAGTCATCCCAAAGGTCTTGGTGAAATCCTCAAGGGACAGGTGCTCTTCTTTCTTGCTGGGATCCACACCCTTAGGGAGCTCCTCCACACGCTTGTTCACCAGCTTCTTCAGGGGATAGATGGGTAGAGACACATAACTGAGGTTGCTGTTAGCACTGAACACTTTCTTTTTAGGATTTATGATCTCAGCAGTGATCTGGCCCAAGTCCCCAGAGTTGCCAAGCTCCCTCTTCAGGACCTCGTAGGATTTGGTATTACTCCACTTGGAGGGATCCCATGCCAGGAACCAGCCTGTGAAGGTGGGGGGCTCGTGTCCTTGCTTCACCAAGGTGATGGGGGTCTCAAGGTCCCGGCCACTGGGGTGGATCTTGAGGTATTCCTGCACTGTGGTGATGGCAGCTTTCTTCTCACCCTCACTGGCATGCTTTCCAATCCAGAAGAAGACCTGGTCCCAGACATCGAGCAGAAATACATCATCCTCTTCCAAGTCATCCTGAATGAAGTCGGAGATTTCTGTGGCCAAGAATCGCCCACTCTGGTTGGAACATTCAAAGAGCCTGGGGGTGAAGACCATGTTTTCTTGTTGCAGTCTCTTGATGCTGGTATAGAGTGCCTTTCCGCCCAGGGCCATCCAGAAGTTGGCTGGCTCTTGCCCTTCCGCCACCACTTGCTTCTCCTTCGGGGAGATGGTATCAGCAACCATCTTGGCCATCTCCCGCTCATCTCCACTACAGCCCTTCCCACACCACAGGTAAAAGCGGGCGGGGGTCTTGAGGAGGAAGACATCATTGGAGTTGAGGCAGTGGGCCCAGGGAGGGACCTCAAAAGCCTTGGTGTTATTGGCACTTGTTCCCTGCACCTGGAACAGCCTTATGGGGGGCACAGGCTCCATGCTCTTAGGCCGGGAGGTGCCTACCTGGTAGACCACCATGCATCCCTTGAAGATGGACATGAGGTGAGGTGGCTCCTTGCCCATCGAGACTCGGATCTGGACCAGTTCATTGTTGTACTTCTGATCCAGGATGACGGCCTGATCGGCCAAGGCTGTGATTTCATGCTGTTTGGCCCGTTTGCCCTGCCAGACGTACAGCAGGTAGTGGGGTTTATCCCCAATTAAGTAAGTGTAGAGCAGCAGGTAGCAGTCACCCCCATAGAAGTGGCCCAGCCACTTGGACTCCACAGGCACCAGCTCTAGGTTCTCAATGCGCCACATCTGCACCTGTCCGCTCCCGTCATCTACCATCTTCTGCTGGGCAGCCATCTGAGGCTGGACATGCATAGACATGGCATCAAACTTCACCTGCTCCACCTTGGCCACGGAGCCCACAGTGTGGGTTTTGCCCAGGCCTGAGGTTCTGCCCAGCACTGTCCACTTCTGGAAGAGCTGTTGGAAGATGACAGACTCTGCCCCATCATTCTGCACCTCGATTTGTGTGCTCAGGGGGTACTGCTTGGCTTTTATGAAGCTCAGGGCCAAGCCCATGGCGTCCTCCCTCTCCTGGGCATTGGCATTCTTCCCCTTCCACACATAGATCTTCAGGCCCCCCTGGTCCAGGATATAACATTCCTCATGACTGAGCAGGTCTTGTGTGAGTGGCTGCATTGCGACCATTTGGACCACCAGCTTTCCCTCTATGTCAGACATGTGGTATAACTTGAGGTTGGCCTTGAGTGCGAACTCCACCACCATGTCAGGCACAGCTGCCTTCAACCCCCTTCTGCTGCCCAGCACTCTGTTCATGACCTCCATCAGCTGCGGAGACTCCTCCTTCTCCCCGTCCACCACAGCTATATAGGGCCGTCCACCCCGCTCCTGGTCTCGGATCTCCTTGGCCAGGATCATGCTTTTGACTCTCTTTTTGCGGTCACTCTCTGGCCCGTTCCACTGGATGATAAGCTCTCCAAGGTCCAGGAGAAAAACTTCCCCACGGTTGAAACTTTTCCAAGATATCTCCACTTCTCCGGCTACCACGTTTCTCTTGCCTTTCACATGCAGCAGCCGCCGGACCTCGCTGGAGTTGCTCTCCCCATGCTTCATGCCAGAAGCCATGCCACCTTTCCGGATCACAAGGCCTTTCTTGAAGTAGCCTCGTAAAGCATCGCTCTCATTGCCTTGGGTCTCACGGTGCTGGACAGCCCGGCCCTTTAGGAAGCCATCCATCTCTGTGGTGAAGATGGCGGCTGCCCCTTGCTCATCCTGGGATGAGGCCTGGCCAATCCAGTAGTGGATGTCGTATGTCAGGTTGATGCCGGTCTTGTGGATAGCCAGGATGACGTAGCAGTCGTCTTCGAAGAAGCAGCCAAAGGTGGTGGGAGGAACAGGCACCATCTGCATGGCCTCGATCCTCCATATTTGCACCCCAGGCATGGTGGTGTTGAGGGAGCCTTTGACTTGGGCGCTCAGATTGCTCATGGCGACGAGCCTGGCTGGAGGAGGCAGCTGCCACCTGGGAGATATCAGGGAGTTGTCAGATTTTACTAAATTTTTAAAGAGGAATTAATGCAACCCTCAAACTCTTCCCAAAAATTGATGAAGAAACATCCCTAGATTTATTTAATGAATTTTATGAGGCCAGCGTTATCTTAATACCAAAACCAGGAAAGGATACTACAAGACAACTGCAGGCTCAGTAAAGTACTAGCCATCCTGATTCAGCATCACATTATAAAGATCACATGCAAGGATGGTTCAACAAGTCAATAAATATATATCATATTAATGGAATGAAAGTAAAAATCATATGATCATTTCAATAAGTACAGAAAAAGCACTTAACAAAAATCAATGCCCCCTCATGATAAAAACTTCTAACAAATTAGGCACAGATATAACATACTTCAACATAATAAAGGCCATATATAACAAGCCCTCACCTAACATCACAACCAATGATAAAAGGTTGAAAGCTTTTCCTCTAAAATGAGTAACAAAACAAGGATGTCCACTCTCACTACTCTTATTCAACATAGTAATGGAAATCCTTGACAGAGCAATCAGTCAAGAAAAAAAAAGGCATCAGAATTGGAAAAGAGGAAGTAAAATTGGCTGTATTTGGAGATGACATGATTTTATATACAGAAAATCCTAAAGACTCCATAAAAAATCAGTTATATAGAATCAACAAATTCAGTAAAGAAACAGAATAGAAAATTTTAAATGGGGAAAAATCATTGACATATTGAACACCTACTGTGCTATGCAATTGATATTTACATTATCATATTTACTCTTCATAAGAACTCTGGGTTGAGCATGTTATTAATCTCAAAATTTGCAAACGACAAAATGGAGGCACAAGTATTAAATAACTTTTCATGCTTTGTGGTCTACACAGGGTTCCTTATATTTACTGGGTGGCTTTAAAAAGTGATATATAAGTGAGGACATGTTAAAGCAAAATCAAGACAACTGATGAGAGAGTTTGGTGTCCCATGAACTAAAATGGACCATGTTTTCCTTTCATTGATTTGATATAATGGAGGACATAATTGCCAATATAAAGGTAAATCTAAGTAATGTTGAGGTTTTCACTTTCAAAATTAGGTACTTGAAATATCGTCTCTTTAAACTAAGTAAATCCTATGGACTAAATGTGTTACCCTAAAATTTATATGCTAAACCTCTAATTCTCAGTGTGATGGTATTTGGAGATGGGTTTTTTATGATAGGTAATTTGGTCATGAAGGTAGAGCCCTCAGGATGGGATTAGTGACCTTATAAGTAGAGACAGGAAATATCATGCCTTCTCTCTCTCTGCTTTCCACAGTGTAAGGACCCAGCAAGATGACCATCTTTGACTTGAACTCAACCATGCTAGCATCCTGATCTCAGACTTTCCAGACTCCAGGACTGTGAAACTAAAAAAAACAGCTTAAGAATTTAAGGATAAAAATATATGTAAATTAATGCTCTTATGTTTGTCTGACATTGTCTATCTTTGTAGCTTTACTTTTAGAGCTTAATGGAAAGTAATGAGTTTAGTAAAAACATTTTCTTTCAAGTCATAATTTCTATAGAAAGATAATATTTTGAAATCTATTACTGTGCTTTTCTTTGAATATTCCCTTATGCTGCCAGAGTACTGTTTTCCTCAGGGAGTCCCTTGTTATACTTGGAGAACAAGAGGAGTCATTCTTCACCTTTTGAAATCTAAAAGAACTTCACAAAGCCAGTATTTAGAAATAAGAGTTTTGAAAGCCCTACTTTCATGTTCAAGAGCCAGGCAATTGAGAGTGAAAAGTAGAAACCCCAGCTAGGTTCAAGATGGAACCTAAGCCATTGGGGGCCTGTGACTAATTTCCAAAATTGAACTCTGGGAATGCACAAGGTTCCATTCCTTGGGTGAAGACTGCGTTAGTTTGGAAGAGAAAAAATGGTAACAAGGTACATTGAGGCAGAGGAAAAATACCACTTGTTTATAGAAAAGTTTCCTCAAACCCTATTTAAGGACTGACATAAGGATGACCTTTAAACTAGAAATCATGTCAGGGATCAGAGATATGCAAAGCAGGTAATGTCTCGTGTACAAGTATGGTGCAGAAGCAGCTGTAGCTTCTAAGAAAACCAATATCCAAAGATCAAGTGGCCTAAGACTTGTCAGTGGAGGCAACTGGGGAATAGCTCTCAGTCTGTTACCCTGATGCCATAGTATGCTTCCCACTGTCTCAGATTTGACCTTTGGTAGCAACAGAGACCACATTAATCCAAAAGAGGCTCACATATAAATTGGAGATGATTAAATGACAAAGCATACTGTACTTCAATTAAATAAGTAAATGAATCAATGAAGGAACAAATATAAATAAGTAAAAATAAAAATGAAGACTAGTTAAAGGTAGACAAAAAAACACTTTTATTCTGAACTACTATAGCAGGGGTCCCACAAAAGAAAATTATTTCCTTAAATAAAATTTACTTGGTATTCTATTGCAGCAAGAATGAGAGTTCAAAAGTATTAGGAGACCAAGTTCAATGATTGAGGGGTGGTTGTACCTCAACATTCATGCATTTTAAAAAATTAGCCAGCTCCAGTTTAAGGCCTACACTGGAATATATTTGCTATAATTTTTTTCTCAGTACTTGTTGCTTCTCAGAATTTATAGAAAGGAATAAGGCCATCTGCTTCTTAATTTATACATTAAGTACATAATATGTAACAAACATATTTGTTAGTATGTACCAAATATTTCCCAATTACATTAAAAAGAAATTACCTATAATATGGGCCAAAAATTAGAAATCAGATTTCATAAAATGATGGTCCAGCATACAAAAGAGTGAATAAAAGAATTGAATTTTGAGACATTTATCAACAAAATATTTATATTATTTGTAAAAAGCTTATGAATCAAGCTTCTCATAATATTTTTATAAACTTTTTAAATTGATTTTAGAGACAGGGGGAGAGAGAGAGAGAGAGAGAGAGATGTGAGAAACATCAGTCAATCAGTTGGATGGCTCTGATACATGCCCCAACCAGGGATGGAACCTGCTACCTAAATATATGCCCTTACCAGGAAATGAACCTGCAAACTATTGGTGTACAGATGATGCACCAACCAACTGAGCCTCCTGAGCAGGACAAGCTTCTCATAATGTTTTTATGACTTTATATGTGTGATCAATGCAACTTGTCCAATTGTTATTCTTCAAATAGCTCTATTGTCTAATTAGACACATGCCAAAATAGAGTTTTTTCTATTCTCTTCATAACATAACACAGTTCTGGAAAGGCATTACATACCATATATACTTACACAATTCTGGATTTATCCCTCACCAATGCTTCAAATTAGCATGAAAAAATTCAGCAAGTGTATGGCCTGCTTTAGACTGACCGGATGCATTGGTGTGAATGTATTCTCATTTGTGTATTCTCATGTATATTTTCATCATTTTCATAAATATATGTCGACCAGTAGATTTTTTTGTATAATATTTATATCAAACATTGAAGAGCAATATGCATGGAAATTAATTCTTTTAAATTATTGTTATCAGTTTGATATAAAATTGCATTTATTTGTTTCTATTTATATTCAATTGTAAGGTTTGCATTTTCATGCTTTTTATTTAATCTCATTTTTGAACATACATAAAATATTTATAAGGTTCAAAAATGTTTATAATATATGTATACAAACACCAACTAAAATGATAAACTATTATATAAATGTGTGTGTAATACTTAGTTGATTTCAACAGTTAATTGCTACTAAGCAATTAATGTGTGTAATTTTTAAAATAATTATTTGCTAGGTGTTTTCAGATAATTCTTTGTGCGCAATTTTGATCATAATCTTAATACGAATCTTAATCCCTTTATAGGTCATTTTAACATTTCATTGAGGCATGCCAATATTTCATCTGTTGGCAATCAATCATTCTGGAATGTCAATGATTTTGAATACTGCTAAATATGCAGAGGTATATGAAAGAATACTGCTAAATATTCAGAGATATTTGAAAAACTTTCTATGGTAAAAAGTTACTTCACAAATAATAGGTTCTTAAATCCATGCTATTTGGAGAATAACACCTCAGGCTTTCAAGGTAGAGCCTATTTACTCAGAGTTTAACTTTCATTTTAACAAATTTGGACATTCTGTTTCCCAGGGGGGAGAATATTAAAAGTAGAAAATTGTAACGTTTGGGAGAATGAAGGAGCTATTAGGAATGCAATCATAGCATCACTCTGAGATAGAGGGTGGTCTAATAGAAGGAAGACTTAAAGTTAGAAAGTCTTTAAATTGTAATATCCATATTGAACCAATAAATAGTCTACATTTCAAAAAGACCACAAAGGGAATTAAGCAAATCCTAAAATTGAAAATTTTAATTTTCACATTGCTATAAATATGCCTAACTCTATATCATACCCAACATATAATCACATAGAATAAATAATAAATGTTTATTTTTGACTCAGGACTGTGACTAACTACTTAATGGATATATTTTAAGGACAAATTTCTACAAAAAATATTGAATTTTACACAGTATGTTTGTTTTTGGTAGTGGTACTGGCATAGTGATTCTAAACTATACTGTATGCATCATAAGATAGGGCAAATGGTTAATATATTGATGTTATTATAACCAAGTTTCTCACTGTGGGAAAATGGAGATAAAACTATGAATTGAGATATCAATGTGAGTTCCTTATGTATACATTCTATCTCTGCCTACTCTAAGAGCTTATCAAATGGCACACATTGCAGCGAGCACCCTTGTATCAGTCTGGGCCCAGATAGGAGACAAAGAGGGGGATTATAATAATAAGAATTATTAAACTGGGATATGAGATGACTATAAGATATATGAAAATTCTATATGGTACTTTTTGGCTGAAAGGAGTACCCAAGAAAGGACAAACTTGGAAGGGGGCTTCTCCCCAAGGCTGCGTTTCAGAC